TTTGATTGTAGTCCAAGACTATGTTTAGTTTTCTGCGGTATCTACCTAGCTAGCTACTGACAGTAGAATTGGAAACAACTTTGAGTGGGAAAAAGGGGATTGCCATTTTGTCATCGATCCAAGTGTGTGACTAGCTCACTGTTACTAATATTCAATTGTTAAAAGTTTATATTTTTTAATTCAATGTTTGTGAAAGTAAATTCTTCTTTTAAAGGAGTGTGGTAAGTTCAAAATAAAATAAAATCAGTTTGCCTTGCATGGATCATTCATTCTAGTGTGAGACTAGGTTTAGGTTGCTGCTGGATCTAGTTAGACAGTTTAGCTAGTAACCATTTCGAGTGGGAGATTGCCAATTTATTTCATTGCTCCTAGTATGAGACTAGGTACCAATAAACAGTTGTTAAAAGTTACATTTTCTGGGGGGATAGCTAATAAATATTGATTTTATTGACAGATGAAGGGACAATTGCCCAATACAGGGTAACAAGGAAATCAAGTGGGGGCATTTCTATTGCAGCTATTTATTCTTAAACACTAGGAAATCGAAGAAGAGTTTTGCAACATATAAATCAATAACAAATTGTAACCTGTAGCTAGACATGTTCGTTTTTACCATAATGCCAATGCCAAAGTACTCAAAGTCCAGGCAATTCAAAAGCTATAGCTAAATCTCCGTAAGGGAACTATTAATCATTTACTTTTAAAATCTGAATCATGCTGCATCTATTACTTTCAAACAATGACTCCCAGAGGATTAAAAGAAGAATTGAATTATACACCCTTCATTCATAGAGGATAACTGACGATTATACTAGCTTTAGTGTACTAATCTTAATTTTTGTTAATGACAGGAGGCGAGTATTTTGCATAACATCTGCAACCTCACTCTACAACACCACTCCTTCCTCTCAACTTGACATCATGGCACCTCCTACATTCAAATGCAGCAACTGTCCCCAATTACAACCATGGCACATCAAGCCGACCCGATACCTCCAAAAATGTTCCAGAACTCCTGAACGCTGTTGGAGAAAGTCTCATTCTGCACCAGACTTCATCCACTATAAATGTATGCTGTGCTCCTACAGTCTGACTAAAGTAAATTACGTCAACAGCCTCATAAGCACACTGTCCCGCCAACCCAAATCCCTATTTTACACTTTTAATTTTCTCCTTCGCCCTGTTGCTCCCATCCTCCTACCACCCTGTTCGCCACAAACTTTGCAACTCACTTCACTGAGAAGATTTATTCAATCTGGAAAGAGATCTCTAACCTCTCTCTCCCCTTCCAATACATCGTCCAGTATATCACCCAACCCCACTCCCTCTGCAGTTCTATGCTCAGTTGCACCTACTACAACAGAAGAGGTTTCTGCTCTGCTCTGGTCCTCCCGCCCCACCACCTGTACCCTTGATCATATTCCCTCATATCTCATCCTTACTCTGCCTCCGTCTCTTGTTCTTCCTCTCACTAAAATTTTAAATCTCT